GTAGAGTTAATATATGTGGAGGGTAGTAACAGTTGTATTTTAAAAATCTGTGATTCTTGTGGATGTTCTTATGCTTTTTTTCATTAATATTATTTTTAAAAGCCTGTTTCTCAAATGTAGGTCAGATAGTGTACAGCCTGCCAGACTACACGTGACAGCTGGCTTATCAATAAGTTTATCATCCTGTACTTGCCCGTCACGTTTCCTTAAAGCTTTGAGAGTTACTTCTCATGCAAATCCCCTTCTAAATTGGTCTTGCAACTATAAAATGTTGAAAGGTGATAACAAAAGGCATGTAGAGGATCTGTTATGCATAACAGGTGTAACTTTTGGTAGATGTACATTTCTGAGGCGGGAAATATTTCTAGGGCTTAAGGTATTGATGTGTTGAGCACCTGCATTTGAAGTTGCTCTGACTGCTGAGGTTGGAAGCACATATGATGCATTTCAGTTGCAGAATGAAGTAATAGAGGGATTTTATTCTAGCAAGTTTGGTTTATTTTTTTGTTGTGCATGTTTTGTTTTGTTTTTTTTCTATAAGATTTGTAACCACACATTCAAGAGTTGGCTGCAGTCTTGGTTCAGAGTGGGGGAGGAGAGGGGAAGTGGGAATTGGTGTTATATTCACTTCCTTCAGGGTAGCTTTGCCTTTACTGCAACAGCACCTTTGGGTACAAATCCTCTGGAAAACCTGTGAGTTTGGCAGGGCAGAGCTTTGGATGTAGAGAAGATCTGTAGTCAGTTGGGGTGGGGGGGGCTTGCATCTAATGCAGAGATTATTTGTCCTTTACATGTGTTGAACTTTAGGCTCTTCATGACCACCCATCACCTCTTGTGTCTTCATTTCTTGTGCAAGTTGGAGGGAAAAGGGTGCTCAGGTGGGTTTGGGTGAGTGTTTCCTAGACCTGGGGAAGTGGGGAGGCTTCACAGTGACTATGAAGAGGAGTCTCAGTGTGGTTTGGCACTTGATGAAGCTGCGCAGCATGTGCAGGAATTCTGGATACAGTGTCAGGGGTTTAAACTAATTTGGGGAGTATAAATAGACAAGGTGGATGTGTATGTCACTAGGCAGTGCTGGGAGAGCTCAGAGGCAGAGGTAGCCAGGTACCTGCAGGGCTCAGTGACCTGAGAAGGTGACCATGGGTGCACTTGTGTCTGCAAGGAGGGTGGGAAGGCATGGAAAGCCCTTTTGGAGATGAAAATGGAATAAGAATTTAGATGGGTGGGCAAAGGAGAGGCTGTTGGTACTTCCCATGTTCAAGACTTGGAGCTCCCCATATCTTCTCATGAACTTCACTGAGAGCACAGGTGCCTGGTTTCTTCCCCTGAATAACTTGTCACAAAGATTTCAGAGAGCAAAAACTCCCCTTGTTAATTTTTGGGCTTATTTTCTGAGGTATTGCACAAAATCATGTGCTTAGAAACTTAGTTCTGCCTCCAAGGTCTGGTTGTAAAGTGGGGGTTTAAAAGCAGATGATCTGAGTCAGTCAGCACATTGGAGGGTTATTTTCAGGGCTACTGTGACCCAATATCTGCTGCAGGGCATGATGTGCCTGGATGTATTCCTCATGCCTCTTCTAATGTGCCTTTGTTGCCTTGACCTTATTCCTACTCTTCCCACTGCTCTATGCTTTTTTTAAAAGTGATGAGAGTTTGAACACTGGTGTAGTTGACGGGGAGTTTTGGGTGAAGCCATCTGAGTAGGCCTGGTGACTGACTTTGCTCACTGGCCTTGCGTGCCCTCCTTGGGAAGGGAGGGAAGGTGGGTGAGTTACCATTACCCTGTTTTTACCTGCTTACTAGAGCCTTTCATCTTTCCTCTGTTAATTAATGCTAACTGCTCTGGCAGTGCTCTAGTTTTAAGGTGAAAATCAAGGATGTACTTAATGATTTTGAGTATTAGCTTAAGACATGTAAATACCTTGTTGGCCTTCTGGAAGAAGCTCCTTGTGCTGAACTTCACTTGGGAAGATCCAGGAGGGGTTGGCTGTGGCTGTTGAAGGCCAGGCTGGAGATTGTGCTGCAGTGGTGGAACTGGAGTGATAATCCAGTTATCCTGATGGTTGTCTGCCAGCAGGACTTCTGCTGGAGAAGCCTCTTGGTCACACACGTGTTGGCCCAAGTTCTGGGAGTCATAGGCTCTTGGTGGAGAAATGCTGAAAAAAGGGACCTGTGGGTGCTTACATCTATCTACTAATCCTGGTGGGTAGTAGCAGGTTGGGTAGAACTTGCCAGTGTGGTTTGAGTCCCTGTGGCAGACAAAAGATTCAGGATAATTCTTGGAATGATTTGAATTCAGGATTCTCAGAATTCTCTGAACGTTCCTCAGACTGTGTTCATGTGAGTGACCTTTTCTTGTCTTTATTCCTCCTTTGGTCACCTCAGAGATGCCTTTCCACCCTTTCCCATCCCAGTTCCTTGTTAGGAAGATGTTACTGCCAAGTGTAATGTGGTATTAATAACAGCCAAAACTTAGAAACGGGGGGAACATGCTTACAAATGTTGCTTAATGATTTTTCCACAGGTTGCTCATGAGAGCAGAGACCTAATCCAGTGTTAGACAAACCAGTGCTGTCTAGCATACAGGGAGTTTATAAGGACCTAAATAAAATCATACATGCAGTGTTGAAGGTCACCTTTAAGCTACTAGAACACAGCCTTATTCTTAAGGGAGACATTCCAGGCTTTTAAATGCTGTCCACCCAACTAAAAGTGAAGCCAAGGAGGGTTTTCTATTTAAAGTGAGTTTGCTAACCTGAGGAAAAAACAGTATGAAAGTTTTACTTCCGTTTTCTACTGTTAATTTAACTGCAGTTGGTAATGTACAAATACACTCTAAATACCCTTCAGCCTGGGCAAACTCCTACATGGCTGCATGTGTTTCTCAAGAATCATGGCATTCAGCACCAAGTGCAGGTTATTCAGTATTTCCTAAGCTGCTCTGTGCTGTGGTGGTGACTGAGGTGAGGAGTAGGGATCCAGAGCCTTGTTTTGGGAGACAGATCAGTGTGTTTCTGCGGAACCGAGAGTGCCCGTTGGGAACAGCCCAGCCAAGTGTACATGTCTCTAGTAAAGATCTTGGTAGGAGGTTGGAGTGGAGGAAGTCCTTTATTCTGACTGTCTTCCTCTCTCCTCTCCCAAGGGTGTCTCAGCAACAAGTGGAAAGTTCCCTGCAAGTTTCTCTTAATTTTTTTTTCTTCTTCCTTGAGTCACCATGTTAAGTCTTTATTGTGGACCCAAATGGTGACTAAAGGCCTTTATTGATGTGTAGTAAATTTTTAGGCATGCAGAATCCTTTTTTTCAGTAAGGAAAAGATGTAGTTGATTACAAAATATGCTGAATTCTATCAACAGGACACTTCTGAAGTCTGAACCCACCTCTGGTGTTTCTGTACTGTTGTTAAAATAGCTTCAGGGTTTTTTTTTATCTGTCCCTCTGTAAATATATTGTTTCTGCTCTGTCTTCTTCTTCTGTGTTACCTAACTGGGTTTGGAGAGAAAGTGAGTTAACAAGACTGCAGATGGTCTCAATGGTAGACCTGGTGAAGGACCTGCCAGTTGGCCAATGTGCATGCTCATTGGAAACCAAGCAGAGCAGGTAACTTTGAGCTTGTCCTATGAACCTTCCCTCCATGAGGGCCATAGATTTGTCTCTCTAACTTGTCTGACTTTTTACAAAAACTCAGATTTGAGTGTTTTTCAGCCTTCATGTGTCCCTGTGGTCCCTTGTTAGCGGGAAGCACCTGGTGTGACACTGGGGAGCAACTGTGGTACAGCTGAATGAGGCTGGAAACAAAGCTGGCTGTGAAACTTTGCTCATTCAACATATTCAAACTGTAGCTAGTCCTCACATTTCCTGTAAAGTGGTATATTAATTTGGTCATTGGGGTGTGTTAATGAACAGCTACAACAAGCTTATGCAAATTGATGTGAAGTTAGAGGATTGACATATCAGGCAAGAGATCAGGGCAACTTCTTGTTATTAAATTGACATTGAAAGAGCTTGTGAAAGTGCTGGATGAATTTTGCAGCAGAAGGGGAATAAAGTAACTGTTGCAATGGTAGCACAGCCTGTGCTGTGGGTTATGCCAGTGCTGTTTAAAAACAACCACCACCAAAAACATTAAAAAGCACTGACACTTTGAGTGGTAAAGAAAGTAGATCAATGACCAGAAACTTGAAGGTGATTATATGAATGAAAGGTCTTTGGTTATTTCTCTTAACTTGTTTGACCTAGTTGAGTTAAGCCACAGCTTGCTGTGCTAGAGCACGGAACTGCTCCGTCATGGTGTGTGTGTGGGGGGGTTAATCCTTATCCACGTTCTTGAAATGGGAACTGCTAACGCCGGAAAGCACCTGGCTTATTTGGAAATGGACTTCTGGGAAAACAGGTTTCATATGCACCAGGGAAACTACTTCAACTCCAGGGCTCTCGAGGAAGTTGGGGGGTTGCCAATGTGGGTGTGGGGTGGTGGGGTTTCTTTGACACAGGGAATTGAAGCATATGGAGATTTGTTCCCCTTGAGTCCTGCCTCTAGTACGTGTTCCAGCTCTAACTTGTCGTTTCTGATGCACCCGACTTGGCAGCAGAAGCAGTGAAAGCTGTTTTATAGACATAGCTGAGTGACTTGAAGTTGGTGAGCTGGTGGCATTGAGGAATGGGGGGGACACAGACCTTTCATAAAGGCCTAGGTGGATGCTGGTGTGCTGGTGGATGGACTGAAGGATGAGGATGGTAGTTCCATACTGGCAGTAGCTCTTGGAGATTCTGAGGGACCTGCTTGCATGTTGGTACTTTGATTTTTACCTTCTTGGTGCCCAGCTGGCTCTGCTGGTGGTCGCAGAGGGAGGACACCGTGCTGAACGTGGCGCTTGCGCGGCTTTACAAGGCGTCGCGTCGCTAAGTCGCTGCTTTTGTCTTGGTTTATTTTCTCGAAGTGCAATGTCTGACTTTCTCTTTTTCCTCTCCATAGGCTGCCCTCGGGAGAGGCAGTGGGAGGCAGTGGAGCTGGCCTCGGCACCGGGAGAGGCTGGACTTCCCGTCTCTCTGTGCTGAATGGCTGCGATGGCGCCCGCTCTCACTGACGCAGCAGCTGAAGCTCACCACATCCGATTCAAGCTGGCTCCCCCGTCCTCCACCTTGTCACCTGGCAGTGCCGAGAGCAACGGCAACGCCAACAACATCCTCCTGGCTGCCAACGGCACCAAAAGGAAAGCCATTGCTCCAGAGGATCCCAGTTTAGATTTCCGAAACAACCCCACGAAGGAAGAGCTGGGCAAGCTGCAGCCGCTGGTGGCCTCTTATCTCTGCTCGGATGTAACATCTGTTCCTTCAAAAGAGCCTCTGAAGCTGCAAGGAGTCTTCAACAAGCAGACAGTCCTTAAATCTCACACTCTCTTATCTCAGTCCTTCTTGAAAACAAGTGATCTGTTGGGGAGGCAACCAGTGTTGGAATTCACTTTGGAGAACCTAAAAACCATGAGTACCAATAGCCAGCCACCTCTCCCGCAAGCGCCTGTCAATGGCTTGGCCAAGAAATTGGCCAAAAGTACCAGTCAAGACCATGAAAACTCTAGTTCTCTCAATGGTGGGAAGTGTGCTCCTCCTTCTGCAGCCCTCCAGGCTGTTGACTATAACGCAGGAGGTTCTGAACTGGGGGACTTGAAGACCGGGTTGACCAATTGCACTCTTCCACACAGAAGCCTTGATGCAGAGCACACGACTCCCTTTAGCAATAATAGCACTGCAAACAAATCTTCCCTTAATTCCACGGAGCAACAGCGGGTGCTCGAGGGTGGCAGTGGAGAGACTAGGTTGCCCGGTGTTGCTAGTCGCTCTGACTTTGGGAGCAGTAGGTTGGAGGAGCAGAAGCCTTCTCTGTTGGCTGGCCACCACAGTGCTCTGGACTCGGAGATGAGGACGCGGGCGTTGCTGCGGCGGCAGGCGGACATCGAGAGCCGAGCCCGCAGGCTGCAGAAACGCTTGCAGGTGGTGCAGGCAAAGCAGGTGGAGAGACACATCCAGCAGCAGTTGGGTGGCTTCTTGGAGAAAACTCTGAGCAAGCTTCCAAGTCTGGACCCCCTGAGGCATCGAAGCCAGCTGATGTTGACCAGGAAAGCAGAAGCAGCTTTGAGGAAAGCTGCAAGCGAGACAGTTACTGCAGAAGGCCTGAGCAACTTCTTGAAGAGTGATTCAATATCAGAAGAACTGGAGAGGTTCACAGCCAGTGGTATGGCCAACTTGAGATCCAGTGAACAAGCCTTTGACTCGGATGTCACCGACAGCAGCTCGGGAGGAGAGTCTGATGTTGAAGAAGAAGAACTGACCAAAGCAGACCCAGAACAGCCCCACGTACCACTGTAAGTAGCAGACGTGCTTTGCTTACCTCTGGTGGGGGGAGAGCGAGATGAAAGGTGGCAGATGGAAAAATCTGGATTTTGGAGGAAGGCTTTTCTCTTTTGATGGGCTTAGATCAAAGAAGTGATTGTTAAAACTAGTGTGGTGTGATTTGCAGCACACTTCCTAGTTCAGGCAGCACATGCAACATTAATGATAAAATTCTTCATGCATACGGTGGTTGTTGATGTTCTTGTGGAGCAGCAGGTCCTGGTAGTGCTGGCTGGAATGGTGCAAACATGCTGCAGATAAAAACTCAAAATACTATATATTCTCTCCATAAAGTGTTGGACCTGTCCCCTAAAATGACCCGTTTGTCTTTTTACAGTGAGAATCCTCATAGTAGACCAGTTAATGTGAAGTAAGGCCAGTCTGAATCTTCATAGCTGACAGCATACTTGGGAGTTTTTATTATTTGGTCAAACTATCTGTCTGGAAAAAAGCCTCTGAAAGGATTTAGTCCAAGTGCCAGTGGATTTCGAAGTGTGTGTTCTCTTTTTTAGTGTGGGAAATGATCGTTGGGAATTTTCTTCTTGCCTGTGGGTCGTGTTTAATGACGACAAAAGCCTCGTGGTGTTGGTAACTGGATGCTGTTTGCAGAAGTATTAGGTGTCAGTTTGTGTGTGGAGGAGGAGGATCCTTATCAAGGCAAAAGGTCTTGAGACAGGTCAAGGAAGAAGGGAAATTTTTCTTCTAAGCCCAAGGTCTTTCCCTGTATTTTGCACAAATCTTTTTTAGTCCACATATTCTGTGTCTGGTCTGTGTAAAATCTTGCTTGCATCAGTAGATGATCTCTTCCACCCTGATGGACCTATTGAGCTTAAACCTCAGGCTGGGAAGTGCAGTCGACAAAAAGCTCCCTGCAGCAGTCGCAGGGGTCCTGTTTAGAATGTGGACAGCTTTCCCATCAAGCCTGGAAATAGTCACCAGAACTTTTCCATATACTTTTGGGATTTGCTCAGGTCTCTGTGGAGAAATAACTGGGTTTTGTTGCCTGGAGTCTAAAGTCATGTTACTGGCTGGTCAAGTACTGCGTGTTACAAATCCTACTGAACTGGGTAGGTGGATGTGAACAGTGTTTGTAACTTCAGCACCCTCCAAAACCACAGTCAGATGGATGAGTGCTGATGAACAGATGTTGCAGCTCTTGAATATTAAATTCCATCTAAATGTCACATCATGTTTTAGGATGTTAGCATGGGAGGGATTTCTGTCTGTGAAGTCTTCAACGTGGCACGAGTTTGGCTTTCTCCCAGTGCAGAGCTAGAAGCTGAATATGGGATGGAGGAACATAGCTAGAAATTGTCTGTGTAACAAGGAAAATCAATTTCCTTATTTAAAGTGATTGTAAAATCTCCAGTATTGCTAAATCCCCTCACTGTTAAGGGGGGCCTGTAGGTATTGAGCTAAACTCTAGCCTCGTTTAACAAGTATGTGTAGAGGCAGAGACAGACCTATTCAATCTTCTCTGAAAGCTGATCCCTGTATCTTCCAGTCCCTGAACAACCACGTTTTCTAAGGATCTTGAACTTTGACAAGGACTCTGTCACTCTGTCATGGGGACTTCCCAAGAAAGCCAATGGCCACCTTACCGGCTACATTTTGCAATACCAGATGAGTATGTGCTTCCTGCTGGCTGGACATAAAGGGGTTCTTGTGCTGTTAGAGAGTTTAATAACTTTATCCCTGTTCTATAATGTCTGCAAACTTTACTGTTGGGATTAGTGGTAAAACTGCATTTTTAAGTATTCTTATGTTTATTAGAGGAGACATTTGATTAAAATTCTGTCCAGAGTAATACTAAATTTCCCATACTGTGGGTTTCATAGATGAGTTTCATAGATTCATGTGTTGTCTGGTAAAGTGAAATGTCTTTGCCACTCATCTTAATCCCAAAGGGAAGTGAGGTATTCAGAGACATGATGCGTGAAATTCTTTGCTGACTTTTCTGCCCCGTGTGTTAGTCATGCCTTTACATTCCCCAGCCTCCTGAGTACTCCTAAAAAGCCCAAGATTTTGAAGCTAATAAAAAGAATGATCCTTCTGTTGCCAGTAAGTTCAGAAGCTGGTGTGTATGCACACTGGCATCTAGGCCAGGCTCACCAAACCTTGTTTCAAGTTGATGCCTGTGGGTATTTAGTAATTAGTCTTCCCAGCATTGACTGTCCTGTTGGCATGAGTGCTTTGACATTGGGTCTCCCAAGCTCTGGCATTACTGGAGTTGAGGCTGAATGCACATTTGTGCTCGTTAGTAAAACTCCTGAATTCAACCATCTGACTACTTCTAAATATCATTCTTTTCAGAGCAGTGCTGAGAAGCAGGAAGGGGAAGAGCTGACTTTTCCACTGGGAAGCTGCCTTGGGCCAGTGTATTGTACAGAACCATTGTTTTACGTTCCCTGTGAGCACAGAGCTGCAAAGGCTTTTTGCAGGGTTGCACAAGTATGGCTGGATTTTGCAGCTTGCTGACTTGACTTACTAGAGGGAAGACTTTTGCCTTGATTATTTTAATTTTGATAGCGAGATGGAATATCTTCATGAGTGTAAAACTTCTGTCTCATCCTTCAGTCAGCATGTCTTGGCTTGGTATTGCCTCTACCTTCCCTCAAGAAGCTGCTTGCTTGCTTCTAGATCTTCAGCGAGAGTTGTGCTACAAATGGTGTATCTTTAGCTTGCTTGCTGTAGGTGGCCATGTCACTGACTGCCTCTGGGGTTCAAGTAGAAGCATGCAAAAGAAACAAAGACTTGTTTACATCATGCTTAGATAAGAGCTGACCTTTGAGTTTTTCTGGCATGGTGGCATTCCAGAATCAGTATCTGGTCAAGGACAGACTTTGAAGCATTTGTACTGTTCTGCCCACCTGATCTTGGTTGTAGAGCAGCAGCTCCTGAAGGAATTGCATCTTTCCAGTAGCATTTGGGATCTGCTGGAACTTCTTAGTTGCTTTTGAAGCACTTGGAGCCCAGGAAGGTGCTGTCATTCAGGTGCATAACCAGGCCACCATGTCATGCATAAACAAAGCAGGGAGGTACTTGTTACACCTTTGTTGGGAAGCCCTGCCAGCCATGGGCTTGGTTTAACAAGGCCTCTGGTTCTCATGCAGCTGATGGGGAAAGGCCACTGGTGCAGACAGGGTTGGTTCATGCTGCATTTTTAGCTTTGTGTGAACCAAGGAGCATTACGTTGCATCCAGTTTGCTCTCACATGAACAACACACAGCTCTGCACAGCTAACAGCCTCTTGCCTGTGGCTTCAGGGTGTGCAGTGGCAAAGTTAGGAGATGCCAAGTTTTGCCTCTGCTTGGTGGTAGTGAAGGCAGGTTAGAGCCTCCCTGGTACAGAATTGGACTGAATTTCTTTGGCTGGGTGTGACTGTAGGCAGCAGCTGTCTGCCTCTGTGAAACCTGTGCTGCTGTGAAAGGCCCCACATGCTGTTGTCAGCGTGGTAGGATCAGGAGCTGCTGTTTGGAAAGGTGCTTTGGAGCAGGGTGTAAGAATTCCTCCGAGTGCTGGAAGGCTGCTGGTGGACTCTGGCTGATGTGGCCAACAATCCAAGTTCTGGTGTTTCTGTGGCCCTGTACTAATACATAAAAGTAGGAAATACTCATGCATCTCTGTAGTAGCAGGTTTTTTCAAGCTGGTTGGTTCCTTTGGTTGTCTTGTGTTTCTCTGCAGACTAGTTTCATCAGAATTTGTCAGTTTTCGTCTTGATTAGTTAGTTGTGTTGAGCAGAACATAGTCATTAGCTGGTGAGTGGTGTGTGATTTAGTGTCTGCAATCCCTAGCTGCAGTCTGTGTATCATGGAAAAAATGGTGAGAAGGTAGTGAAAACAAATATTTAATTGGAACTTATCTTTTAGCTCAGGTTTCTTATCTGGAAAGTCACTGTTTCGGTGGCAGTTACATCCAAGCTGCTGGGAGTCAAGTGAAGTTCCTAGTGACTAACTTCTCACAGCACATTTTACAAGGCTCAGACAATACCTGCAGTTGTTCAGTTGTGGTTGGTATGATGCCCATGGCCATGATGCCTGAGCACACTTTAATTATCCCCATTTACTGGTGGGAAATCTGAACACCTCTGCACTTTGGTGTTGGAGTGAATCATTTCACAGCCCTGGTGCCCATGTGTTGACTCTTCCCTGGAGTGTGTCACACTGTACTGCTTAGATTTCAGAACTGCTGGACTTGGGGTAGTAGTAAAGGTTTCTCACTAATATGTGCTTTTGGTGGTGCTAATTTTGAAGCCCTGTGGTGGAGTGGGATGAGTGTGGCACTTGCACCAGTGGTTGTTTTGAGGGGTCATTGCAGCATGGCCAGGGAGGTGATTCTGCCCTTTCACTTTGCTCTGGTGAGCACCTGGAACACTGTGTTGAGCTCTGGAGCACAGGAGAGATATGGAGCTCCTGAAGAGTGTTCAGGGGAGGCCATGGAGATGATGGGAGGGCTGGAGCAGCTCTGGAGACAGACTGGGAGAGTTGGGATGTTGAGCCTGGAGAAGAGAAGGCTCCAGATTTTCTTCTCTTCATTATATTTTTCAAGAGAGAGCATGATTTGGAAGCTTATATCTCAAGGGCTATTAAATTGCATTTCTCAAGTCTGTGATTTCATGGAGCTGTAATTCAGGTGGCAAATCCCACACTGTGGGGACTAAGGAAGCTTTTCCAAGTGATCACAAACAAATTTCACTAACTCTTGATTTATGCAGAGCATTCCTAAGTCTGTCTTCTCTCTTCCTGACTTTTTCAGTTACCTGCTTGGCTTTTTGTGGTGGTGTTCTTGTTCTTGACTTCTAGCTGTATGTGCAGGTGCTGACACACAGTACTTAACTTTCTGTTTCTCAGCTATTTATGAAAACTTGCATATGTTGTACCTGAATTGCTCAGCAGCATTGTGCTGGTCAAGAGCAATGTCCCTCAAGCATCCTTCATTTGGGAAAGAGAGCAAATCCTGAACATGCTCTTGC